TAATGCAATAATTATAGCAGAAGCATGTTAACTACATGTATAATGGACTAAAATATCCTATAAAGTCAATTTAGGCTAAATGGTTTTGTAAAAAAGAATGAGTGAGTCAGTATCTGAAGATCAATTATGTATTTTTAAATTTTTGTCCACGTACCTGATTAACAGGCTCATTGAAGTTTGTGATGAGACCAGCACGCAATGACGTCTTCTCTTCTTCTGATAATGCACTGTGAAAGAAAAGCAACCAAAAATACATTTAAAAGAAGGAAAAGCTGGAAAAAGAGATGAGATATGAACCAAAAAGAAAAACAGTAGGTCAATGAGTGGTTAAAAAGTATGACAGCCCACTGTAGACACATTTACAGACGAGCAAAAAAAAAAAGACTAAAGAGAAATAAGAACATGGTGGATATAGACATTAGGATGCAGGAGGGTAGTGTTACTGAAACAAGGTCCAACTTCCAAACTCAGGGCCTTCTTGCTGAAGGCTCAAACCACTAAGCTTACATGTCACATTGTATCATCAGGGGGCCAGCTGCCCGAGCATTGTTGAGCGCCTGTCTTATCCTGAGTGACTCATTACAATGTCATTTCAAATTCTAGGCATGAAAACCACAAAGTATATCTGGTGATGATAGGAATATAATATCAATCTGCCAAGTTGTTATGGGATCAATTAAATCCCTGCGTACAGTAAGGGACCTACGAGCTGCCTGATTGAATCTCTGAGCTTTGGATTAAACCCTCCGCTCTCCTCCAACTCATATGGTGTCATTTGAAACAGGAGCTTTAGCAAAAGTAGAGGGGTACGTGCAAAATAGTAACAGTGTGACTGTGCACATAAATACAATGCATCACAACTTGTATAATTTATACAGTCTACTCCAACTGCTGCTGAAGCAGGACATGGGTGAGTGTTTGATGTGAAGAAGAGTGAGGGATGAATCACGCTGTAACCTTGGGCAGGGAGAGCAGAGACATGGGTGGAAAAACAAATTACCAACAGGGACAGTGTGAATAAGAGAAACAAGATTTACTGCATGCACATATTTTGGGAATGACAGAGGAAGATAAGCTTCAAAGAAATATGGGGTAAAAGATAAAACTTACTAACACTAGAATAGCACTTCGTAGAGTGCATACTTCTGCCAAGGCCTTGCCATCCTAAATACATCTCTATATATCTTTTACATTCACATGAAGGGAAGCCCAGAATGTCGATTTTATTTTGTGAGGTGGCTTTTAATTTTCATGCTTACGTGTTAGTGTATCTTTTACTAGAATCTTTTATCGTCTTTTTCACAAGACCTTTGGATAGTAAGTGGAGGTAGAACTAATAGCAATAATGGTGGCATCATTACACTTTAGTGACGCAGGCCAATGGTATGAGATTTATGTCTTTATTTTGATTTCACGAACGCCTTCACAGTATCAAAAGGTTTATTTAGCCAATATCACCTCCTGCTCTAAAACTGATTTTTACAAGTATTCCCTTATAAAACAGCCGGAACAAAGTATAAGTGTTCTTCTTTAATTCTTTCTAGAAAGGTCTTGGATAAGGTAATAAAACAGACGTCAAATAAATATAAGCAAAGATATAAGTAAATATTTGCTACTATTGTTTAATTTTTTCAACCGTTAAAGCAGAATAAGCCAACTGAGCATGC